TAATTTCATAATGGTGCTCACTCATTAGTCCTTCTGACCTTCATACAGGAGTCGTTATGGATTTGAAATAAATGGCCAAAAATGAATTTCATTTCAAAAATGAAAATGAGCTAAAAATGTGCTCACCCTCAGTTCTTGTGTCTTACAGTGTGTTTTCACGAGATTCGTGAAGATTCATGAATCAGACACTAAACAAAAGACAATCATGAGCGTGAGACAGACGGACAAAGAGGAAAATCCAGAAAGGGCGGGAGACGGCAAACACACTTAAACCTGGTTATGACTAACCCGTCTGCTAGATGAAGCGTGTTTAACATCTCAGACTCTGTGTGTAAACATTCTGCAACGCTTTTGACATCAACGACAAACACGCTTCACTTCTACACAGATTTAAAATAAATAAATACATAAATAGATTAAAATAAGTAAATAAAACAACATGAATAAGTATAGTAATAAAATATAGTATAGTAATAAAGAATAATAAAGTATATTACATAGAAAAAATATTTTAATAAATACAAAAAATAATAACAATTATTAAATATATAGATTAAAATAGGTAAATATTATATAATTACATAATATAAAATTTGTTTACAAAATATATGATACAAATATTTAGATAAGTAAAAAAAAAGATTAAAATAAATAAAAGGCAGACAAATAAATAATACAAAAATTATTTTTAAATAAATCATAAAATTATTTAAATAGATGAAAATATGTGAATAAATAAGATACAATTACATAACACAAAATTTTATTAAATAAACAATACTATTTAATTGAAATAATAAGCAAATTAAAATAATAAATAAAAAGTACACATAACTGAAAATACAAATGTATATCTAAATCATAAAAAGTGATTTAAATAAATAAATTAGGGATGTTCATTTCGGTTATTTTTCCTGACCGACAACCGACGCTCGTTAACCGATTGTTAACCGACAAGATTATTTTAAATTAGAATTGAATTAAATTATAAAGGATAAGTGTCTGTGACCCGTTAAAAATGCTAACATTTGTTTCCCGGGGGTTTTAATTTTACAAAAGCAGCAAACAATGGAACATGAGGATTCACATGGTCTTCATCACGCACCTGCAGCGCTTCTGCCAGCGGAGAAAAACATCATAAATAGGTTATATACTGTATATAACGAATAAATTGGCCTATACGAGAAACATATTTTTACTTAAATAATAAATTAAGAAAATGAAAGAAAAACTGTGCAACAAGTAGCCTAGTATGCAGAGTTTCGGTTCAGGTTATCTTTAGGACTAAAAGGAGTAGTTGCTTCCACTGTTAGAAGGAAAAAACTCAAGTGATTGCGCTGGCGCCGTTGAGCTAATGCAGCCTGTTCATTATCATCATAAAATACAGTCAGTCAAACATATGGAGAAAAACTATGTAGTAAAAAATATGTAGTAAAATCTGTTAAGCCATTAAGTGTTATCACCATACCGCTAGGGATGGGCGATATCTTATCGTTTGCGATATACCGGTAAAAATTCTTCCCACAATAAGAACTAGTCTTCCCGTGATAATAACGATAAAGTCTAGTTGTTGACGTATTTCTTTGTGCGACTGTGTGGAGTGACGTGAAGGAAGGCGGACGTGAAATTGAGCAGCTCCTTCAAAAATCGGTCTGAGCCTTGAGTAAATGTACTACAGTAGCACGTGTGCCACACAGTTTTACTGTTGTCCAACAAAGATATTTTAATTTATTGCCATGCTTTTTCTCCATATTAACTTCATAACTTAATTTTGTGATCAGACGTGGTTTCGTATCACAGAATAAGGCAGAAATCATACTATGGATACTTTTCTCTAAAGCAGTGGTCGCCAGATCTTTATCACTGTCCCAGTAGATCCCGAAAAAAAAAAACAGTAAAATAAGTACAAAAATGCATTACATTTATGGGGTTATATTAATGTATCACTGAAGGGAACTGTCTTGGGAGAAGTTTCGATGGCATTTTCTTCTCCGTATAAAGCGCAGCTCTGCTTTGTTTACAGCGGTAACCAAGGAAACGCTATA